CTGCGTCAAGGATCCTCCTACGGTAACCGTTCTTTAGGAACGCTTGGTGTAGATGCTGGATTTCTGCGTTTAAGCCAGAACTGTTAGTGCAGATCTCTTGGGCTTGCAAACGCATATTTTTCACCACATTCCTAAATAATCCGGTACGGACGCATGACGCCGGTGTAGGTATCGATTAGAATATGTTAATTTCCGATATACGGAAACCTCAAATTCACACGTTGGAGTCCTCTTAACCAACGCGTCGAGAAGGGATATGGAGTGGTTAACTTCCACTTCAGTAGTATAGTGTATTCGGCCATTTTTATCTTGTCCATTCATGTAGTTCATGAAACTTTCCCGTTTTTCCTCGTTTCGTTGCAATAATAGGAAAATGTCATCAATGAATCAGACATAGATGGTCCTCATGCCGTATAGCAACAGTTTTCTGAAGGAATCAAGATACAAACGGATTTTTGTGTAAAGGCATGCTTCTTCCTCATGCAAAATAATGAATAGGTTGTCATACCACTTCGGCCACGGTTCATCCTCTTATTTAACCCTGAATGGATGGTAATAAACTGGAGGTGATGAAATTAAGGTACTTTAATTGTTACAACTCTTCTTTCATTTCCCTGCTGCATTTCCGGATCTGTTGTAGTAGATGGATTGTTCGTAATTTTTGACATTGGAGCATTATGGAAGAGAACGGCTTTCGCAATAGAAGCCATCAAACAGTGAAGCCCACTTCTCGTGCTGCTCTTCAAAGCGGTTTCTTTTGCGTATTCCAGGTTAGCAAGGTATATTACCAGTAATTTGTAGCTGCACCTTCCCTCGAGAATCAGAGCGTCAGTATCGTTTCAGAGGAGAAGGTCGAAAACAATATTGGCTGGCAATTGCAAATGTAGGTTTCTTTGATTAACAGCCAGTTACTAGGAAACCACTCAGATGGCTCTCGATTGAGTTTAATAGCAGACTCAGTTTTTTTGCTTGCATCTGTTCCAAAATGGAAATGATATCTTCGGGTATCCCGTAGCATTTTGGGGTTTTTCACATCGTTGAGCGTTGCAAATGATTTATAGCGTGTTGAAGTTTGGAAGGAGGTTCATTAAAAATATAGTTAATCTGTTCACTTCGCTTACCTAGAACTAAGATGGATAAAAATAATGGACATAATATTGCATTTTTGGGCATGACGCACGATGGTGACTTATTAAGAAACTCGCTCCTTCTGTGCCAGTCAGCAGCTAGTGAATTATCCAGGTTACACATGATTTGTAGTATACTGCTCTGAGTGGGTCATGGATAAAATGTTCCAATTTTTACTTGCCAGAGCGTAATTTAGCTGTAAATCGATAGTTGCAAAGTCACAGTCAATCATCAACGATAAAATTTTGCATGATCATTTGTGAAAGTGATTCTCGCAAACTTATTTGCATTGCAGTTTTTTTTCATGCCAGTTTCACGATCTCTGGTTTGCGAACAGTCTTCTCTCATATGTGCTGTTGTAGACTGCGCAAGAGGAAGAACTGTTCAGTGATAAGAAGAGCAAGAACAGTCAGAAAAAATACGAAGAAAGGCAGAAAAGTGCCAAAGTGGATCCCCATTTGGAAGAACAGTTTCAAAGCGGCAGAGTTTTAGGTAATGCTGTGCATGCGATTCTTTATCATAGTCATGGAACGTCTTTTTTATTTTAGCATCGATCAGCTCACGACCAGGTCAGGTAGGCCGTGCCGACGGTTATATCTTGGAAGGCAAAGAAATGGACTTTTACATTAAAAAGATCAAAGCGAAGAAAACAAAATAAACAGTTGTTTATGTTGATAGTATTTGATTGCTAATAAACATTTGGTGAAAGTTGGCTCCTTCATGTTCTGTCGTAATCTTATCCAGTGCCTTATATTTAAAAATGGCGTAGTATTTTGTAATGTCGCCTTTCAGAGTATTTGGTGCTGCTGCTGCTTATGGTTAAGATGCGTCACGTTTATGACTAAAAACGATCTCATTTTCATGAAGCGTAGTCCTATCTGTTTCTGCTTGAAGCGGCAATAATTAATCTATCAGGCGGTGACGATGACGATTACAAAAATTTGTCGTAAATCAGTCGCCTAATCCACTGATCTGCCTTGCATCAGTGACGTAATGGATCTCCTGAACGTGGCGAGACTAGCACAGAAGGTCATGTAGACGGTGTTGTCGTGGGCGCTGTGGACATTCGTAATGGGGTTCCATCATCATTTCAAAGAAGATGACCCACTGGCACACTGCGAGATACATATAAGATACTGCGCACTTGAATACGCCCGCCATTTGTGCCGATTATGTACGACCGCTGTTGATTTCGAATGGAATTCGTTGACGGTATGACGGTCAAGCAACAATGATGAATCATTGATGACTGTCACGAGCATGTGGAATATTTTAGACTGGCTGCTTGCGAAAGGTCATGACTCGTTCATCTGCGTTGAGTAGTAGGTGATGGATTAATAAAATGACGTGTGAAGGTTGTCATCGTCATCTAAAACCAGTCAGATTAAATAGCGAGTTATATTAATATTGTCTGAGGTGATTTTGGTGCTGCCTGAAATTAAGCTGTTTGTCCACGTACGTTCCTATCGTAGTTGTACCGTTCGCTTATTGGTGTTGCTTAACGACCTCAAACAGGAAATTCATAGAACGTCGACGTCGATATGTTTAATGTGGTTTTTTAAACGGTTTCGAACAGTTTTAGGTTTATAACAGGTCATCTGATTTTGTTGATTGGGCGTTCATCCAATTTTTTACCACGAACCCGACCATGCCGATGTGTGTGGTGTACCTGTCAGAGTCGTCCCGCAAAGCCACCGCCTACACTATCGCCATCAGCTGCCTTTTGCTTTCCATGATCGCGTTCATCGGCGGACTGTCTGTATTGCGACACCGACAAACGTTCCGTAGCGATTTACGCTATTTCGTCCACCTGGCTAAGTACGATTTCTTGTCTCACAACGTGTTTGGCTTCAACGCCTCAATGGCCGTTCTGTTGTTTATATGGAGTACGACGATGGCTTTCGCTTCGTATTTCAACGCTTCTCTGGACAGTCGTTGGAGCCCCGGGAAGGTAAATCAGATTGCCGTTGTATTTTTCGTACCTGCAGTTGTCCTTTACCCGTAACGTAGTAATGAAGAGATGAGCATTTATTGAAGTTTCGAAATGGCAGTAAATGATAACATTTTAACATGACATTACTTCCCATACTAATCATTAAATCTCGACTTTCAGGATATTAAACAAAACTACGATTTAGTTTTTATGAAAAAGGGGCAGTTTCAGATGTTGAACTAAAGGTCTGTAGAAACATATGCATAATTTTGCCGAGCGGGTTTATACGGCGTAGGGCACTACTTTCTTGCCTATCGGTTTCTAGGGGACTATTTGAGCAGCAGCTGGGCCATAGTATTTTAGCACCTTGTGGAAACGATTCCAGTATTGAGGCTGAGAAAAGGGTTACTTCTTTCACAAAACTCGTCGGATCACTGTTATTGTACGGCACAAAGACAGTTGTAATGAAAGTGCAAGAATGACCATTAAACATCGTACAGCAGCATTGGCTTCAACGATAATAAGGTGTGATTAGCAGAAAGATGAGGAATGACTATTCTATTCAGAGCACATGTGACCTTGGTAAATATGGAGAATAAGAAAAGAATGTTGGCCCTGTTGGACAAACTGGCTGAGCTTACATCTTTACTTTAGACTGTGAGCTTCTCGTGCTGGAGCCCAAACGTGACGTACGTCGACCAGGAGGCTAGCATACAACATGGAACAAGATAAGGGCAGATCTGCTTGCGGAGAAGAATATTATACGATATAGTAGCCGATGCCTTATAGCAAAATGTTGTTTCTGCGAATGGTATTCCGCGGCTGTGACATTTAAATGGAGCGTCCAGTTTGCGAGAGTCAGACACCCTCCTCAGCAGTTTTATGCCTTTCATGGAATCTTACCGTTATCCCGTTTTCTTTCATGCTCGTTTCGATTAGTTTAAAACCATTTTTGGCTACATTTTTTCAGAGGTTTAATGGTACGGAAAAGCTTTTACCGTTCGTTCTATGGATATAAATATAGATGGTTGTCTTCAGAGTTTCATGTGAATTTTTACGCATAGCGTTCTCTTTGAGGGGTTTGAATTTTCAGGGTGCGAAAGCACGTTGCTGCTTCTTCGTGATGCAATCGTGTGTGAGTTCAAGCGAATCATTCATAGTTACCGTTGCTCTTAAGGAGAAGCAGTTTGCCTTGGCATGTTTTGTTGGTTTGTTGGTTACCCAATTTCCAGTATATGATGTGAGGTTGAATTTATGTCGATCGTCAGTCACAGAGGCTGCATATTTTTCTGTTTTAGGTTTCAGGTCTGATGCCACTTCTGCAGGTGTTAAGCTTTCTGTTTTTCTTGATAAGCATCTTCAGCTGTATGGCAAACTTCCGCGCCGTGAAACACCTGGGCGCGACTGTAGCGGAAGGGATAGACCTCGCGATGACTCATTACGAGTTTCAGCTGAACGGGACGGAGAAAAACGTGGTTTTCATCCGCAGCACACAGAAGATCCACATCGACCTGCTCCATCGACGTTTGCAGTGTTGCGGCATGTACGACTGGTCAGATTGGCTGCTCGACCGCTACAAGCTTCATCGTTCAACTGCCGTAGTTCTTCACCAGCCGTGAGTCTGTTTCTGCTTACAGACTTTTCATATATCACTCTTGTTTCTTTACGTCTCGCCGCCAATATGCGCGGTCCCGGTAGTGAGAGGGGCGCCGTCAGTCTGCTTGTTTAGCTGCCATTCGAGCAGCAGCGAATCGACGTAAGCCATGGAATGTTAGTCGACTGAGAGTTGAATTTGTACTGACAGTAAGTTCGAATCGTGATGGGTCACTCACTTTTTGTCCTAAATGGGAAAGAGGAAGTTACTTGACTGCAGATACCGTTTTTTTTCCAGAAAATAATAAGCTCTTCTGGAAATCAGTGTCACACCATGAGTTTCTTCAAGAAGGTCGCTAGAAGTAGTAGCCAGTAGCACTTATGACAGTTTAATGAGGTTAATTACTCTAAAATGGTTTGGATTGTCGACAATGTATGTACTTATACAATTAGACAGTCATAGGACTGATCTAGTTGTCTTATCTCGGAGCTCTTTAATTTGACGTGAGAACGAGGAAGATTCGGACGAGGAAGACATACAATATCGTACTAGATATCTCGAGACGGCTTGGCATTCAGCACGACGTCGGTTTTGAGCACACTCTGATTCTGACAGTTATTTAGCCTACATTCTTCAGTATTGAAGGCCTTATGTTACGCTTGATGAGGAAGACAAGAGAAAGTGAATGAAAAGCTGGCACCCAAATCCTGCTCAGTATTGAAGAGAAGTGTTGAACATATATGATTTTATGCTAGGTGATTCGTGACAGCAGTCGTTAGTCTTAAGCCCACCTTATTCCGCACTTTCTGTCATCATAAAGATAACGGGATCGCTAACACGCCTGCTGCCTAGCCGCCAAATGCAAGATTCGCAGTAGAGCCTTTTCTGAAAATTTCATCTTCGTTGCCTTACCTTTGCCAACATAACCTTTTGTATGACTAAAAATCAAGCTTTGTTACCGTTTTAGGCCTCTTTCTTACCGGTGCAAGGCCCGCCAGCTTTGCTACATTCCTTGGACGTGCTGCGCTTTTAATACCAGTCACAAGACATGCTACAACGAGGCATTCAAAGTTAGACTGGACTATAAACTGTTCAGTCGTGGATTCCATCCGTTTGGTTGCTTCGTAAAAATTATGGAACAATATTCCAGCTACTTGCAGACGTACGGCATTGTCTGGATTGGCGTGTTGGTTGCTCAGGTAGAACGTTTGATGTTTGACTGTTCAAATTATCTTCATCGATCAACTGAACAGCATTTAAAAGTTTATTATGGTATGCTTTTAATACGCGGTGATCAGCGTGTGTAATTAATAATATTACAGACAGTGTTACAATTCTGACCCTGTTCATTGGGTAGTCGACATGGTGCACAAGTACTTG